GCCACAAACAGCGTGAGCATTTCGACATTTTCAAGGTTGGGTATGTGCGCAGAATGGAAATGCATTTATACAGGTATCCCCAGAGGTTGGGAGTTTCCCTGTACTAGGAGGTTATAGGACCTCCTTGCTCCGTAGAAAATCAATGAATTCGACAAACTAGCCTCTGGCGATTTCTCCCTGATTTAGGCCTATTGTTGAATAATGTGATAATAGTTGGCATTAAGGCCACACAGAATGATTTCAGGGCAGTGTCAATTTATTTTATGGTCATTTTTCATCTCATTTCGTTTTAATGTAGTAAGCTGAATCACCCTATATCATAAAATACTGCTATCTGTGAGGTAAATGCGAAGTCACTGACCGAAAACTGTTGCTTGTTTTGTATTGTAGGGTGGTTCTAACTATTTATTGGTGGTATCAAAAATAATTGGACCTCTCGTGTAGCTTGTTTGGGGGCTATTTCAAACGCTTCAAGTATGAAATGATGCGAAAATGGGCTAAGAACTGGCAAATAAATGTCAATATCAAAATAATGGGACACGTCACATAGCTCGTTCTAAGGCTGTTTCAAACAACTCAAGTACGCACATGTGACATGATTGATTAAAATGTGTTAATAAATGACAGTAAATGTGAATATCAGACAGATTTTTTTCATCCGGAATATTTTTGCTTTGCTGCCTATATTGCATTGGACGCCGGTTCTGTATTTTGCACTTTCATATGGTTTTCCCATTTACGTCGATGAAGGTTAGACATCCAGGTAATACGATACGCCAAAAAACAGTTACTCAAGCAACTGGATATGATTTTGAAAACGTCAGACGTTTCAGCTAGTATCCACTAGCTTTCGTCAGTGACTGAGAGACCAGAGGGGAAATGCAGGTTTATAAGCACAAACTATTGATTGATATGCAGGATTTCCTGAAAAACAGGCCAGAGTGGCCTGAGTGTTATACCTGGTTGAACAAATAAAGTTGAAGTTGAAAGTTGAAAATGAAGACAAATTTTTGCATATCAATCAATAGTTTGTGCTTATAAACCTGCATTTCCCCTCTGGTCTCTCAGTCACTGACGAAAGCTAGTGGATACTAGCTGAAACGTCTGACGTTTTCAAAATCATATCCAGTTGCTTGAGTAACTGTTTTTTGGTTTTCCCATTTAGTCGCTCCGGGCCATAAAGCCATCCATTACTCTTGCCTCATCACGCCTAGAAGCTCCTTGATCACGCCTACGCGAGACGTCTCCTCGCTCTCTATCTTTGAAAGCGTTGCGGTTTCCCCCAAAGGACTTTCGGTTGTCTCAAATGCAACCTTTCAGCTTATAACCATATGAAGGGACAAAATAGAGAACTGGCGTCCATTGCAATCTGGGCGGCCAGGCAAAAATATATTCCGGATGAGGAAATATTCCGGATGAGGAAATCTGTCTGATATTCACATTTACTGTCATTTCATACTGTCAGCATATTTTCGTCAGCTTTCGTCGTTTCATACTTAAAGCGTTTGAACTAGCCCCAACACAAGCCGTGTAAGGAGTACCATTATTTTTTGGTACCACCAATAAATAGTTAGAACCAGACTATGATACGAATCAAGCAACCGCTTTCGGTCAGCAAAAATATATACCGGAAGAGCGAATCTGTTTGATACTGAGATTCTCTGTCATTTCTTAGCATTTCTTTCGTCATCATTTCACATTTGGAAGGCAGGCGTGTCCTTGTTCTCTGTCTTAGAAAGCGTTGCGGCTCTCCCCAAAGGAACGTTCGGTTGTCTCAAATGCAGCTTTTCAGCTTTGTACACTGGATTCGCGTCCTGAGCCTTTGAACCAGCATGGGAGTGGTATGTTTTATTGCCCATGCAGTCCCGTTGTGTCCATAATTACCCTACCGAGAATGCCAACAACCTTTTGATAACGTTATCCGCAGATAGTTGGAGTGTTTAATGAGCTGGAGAACATTACAACGCTGGCCCCCGTCCGGGCTGTTTAACTTTCTGTATAATCATGGCAAGCTCATCTTGGAACGGATGATGATTTGAACGGCAATACAAATAGGACACATCGTGATATCATAAGATACATACATTACGGGAGATATTCCTTCGACATACACTAGACGTAGTGTACCAATTCATTTATTTATTATAAATTAGGCCCCCGCTAGGCTGTTAACTTTCTGTATAATCATAGCAAGCTTATTTTGGAACGGATGATGATTTGAACGGCAATACAACTAGGACATATCGTTATATCACAAGATACATAAATTACGAGAGATATTTCTTCGACATACAGACGTAGTGTACCAGCCAATTAATTTAGCTATTATGAATTAGGCCCCCACACACTGTTTCACTTGCTGTGTAATCATAGAAAGATTATATCTTGGTACAGATGATGCACTGATGATTTGAACGGCAATAAAAATAAGGCTTATCGTGATATCACAAGATACATACATCATACATTAATGAGGGATTGCCTCTGTTTATACAGACGTAGCTGTACACATGCACTCAGCCAATTTAGCTATCTACTACCCATCTACTCTTTTTATTATATATATTCTTTTCAGTCAATCATTTTGACCAAACAGTTATTCTCAAATGAACCCTTGATCCCAACTCAATTTCTACGCAAACAGCAATGATGGTCGAATATGGCAATTTAGAGTTCTGTAGTAAATAGAGGCACATATAAACACATTCTCCTCATTACCTAGTTGACGTGTTGACATGAGCGATAGGAAATTGCAAAAATATAGTAAATGCATTGTAATCCTTCCTAAAAGTATCTTTGTATCAACTTTTATGCAACAATGACGAATAATCGAAGCTACTCATTATTGAACATACTTGAATCATTTAAACAAATTCTACTCGTTATGTAGTTGACGTGTTTAATTACCATGAACGATAGGAAATTGTGGAATTATAGTAAATATCTTTGAATCTCTCCAGCCCAAAATTATCCTTCTACCGACTTTAGGACGAAAGTCGAAGCAACTCATCATTGAACATTCTTGGATCATTTTAAGTCATACTTGATGACTAAATCTGATTCATGCTTGGTACACGTATGCTGAGCACGTCCGACCGAACGGGAGCGCACAGAGCCATTTTGCAGCGTTCACTGTTATATCCTCCGCCGATATTTCACACAACAAGCTGCGGACCTGTGGGCAGAGGTCAGCAGATCTGCTCTCCGCGGGGACTCTGTACGGAATATCTGAGATCGCGGTAATGGTCCTGACGGCCGGCCTGCGATCTCCCACCAGCCCCGGTGGGATTTCGCTAGATAAGTGGAGGCCTGTCACGCGAAGGCGTGTGTATGTGTATGTGGGAGTGGCGCAGTACGAATATCCCACCGGTCACGTCAACAACAGGAGTTATCTGGAATTAATCTCATCTCACATGAAAGTGTTCCAACGTTATTTTTTCTGAATGATGCAAGGCGTGTGTGTATGTAGGAGTGGCGCAGTACGAATATCCTACCCGTCAACAACAGGAATTATCAAAATCCCTGAGTTCTAATCTCATAAAAATGTCATGATTTTGTCTCAACGTTATCAGTTTTCTAAATGATGCGAGGCGTGGGGGGGGGGGCTATATACGAATATTTCGTAACGTCAACAACAGGAACTATCAGAATCCCTAGACTCTAATCTCATGTTCACATAAAAATGTCATGATTTTGTTCCAACGTTATCAGTTTTGTAAACGATGCGAGGTGTGTGTATGTGGGAGTGGCGCAGTACGAATATCCTACCCGTCAGCAACAGGCATTATCAGAATCCCTGAGCTCTAATCTCCTTTTTTTTATAAGAATGTCATGATTTTCTTTCAGTGCTATCAGTTTTCTAAGTTATGCGAGGCGTGTATATGTATGAGTGGCACAATCCCTAGACTCTAATCTCATGACAAAAATGTCATGATTTTGCTTCAACGTTATCAGTTTTCTAAATGATGCGAGGCGTGTGTATGTGTGGGAGTGACGGGGAGTGGCGCAGTACGAATATCCCCTCACGTCAACAATAGGAGTTATCAAAATCCCTGAGTTCTAATCTCATAAAAATGTCATGATTTTGTTTCAGTGCTATCAGTTTTCTAAGTTATGCGAGGCGTGTATATGTATGAGTGGCACAATCCCTGGACTCTAATCTCATGTTCGCATAAAAAATGTCGCGATTTTGCTCCAACCTTATCAGTTTTCTAAATGATGCGAGGCGTGTGTATGTGTGGGAGTGGCGCAATACGAATATCCCCTTACGTCAACAACAGGATCTAGGAATTACCAAAATCCCTGAGCTCTAATCTCATTTTTTTTCATAAAAATGTCATGATTTTGTTTCAAAGTTATCAGTTTTCTAAATGATGCGAGGAGTGTGTGTGGGAGTGGCGCAATACGAATACCCTACCCATCATCAAGAGGAAATCCCTGGACTCTAATCTCATGTTCACATAAAAATGTCATGATTTTGTTCCAAAGTTATCAGTTTTCTAATGATGCGAGGCGTGTGTGTATGTTGGAGTGGCGCAATACGAATATCCCCTTACGTCAACAACAGGATCTAGGAATTACCAAAATCCCTGGACTCTAATCTCATTCTCATTTTTTTCATAAAAATGTCATGATTTTGTTCCAAAGTATCAGTTTTCTAAATGATGCGAGGCGTGTATATGTGGGAGTGGCGCAATACGAATACCCCACCCACAACAGGATTCCAAAATCCCTGGACTCTAATCTCATGTTCACATAAAAATGTCGTGCTTTTGTTTCAACGTTATCAGTTTTGTAAATGATGAAAGGTAGCGATTGTACCGTGTGAATCCGTGTATCCCATCTAAATTGAGCCTCCGAGGAAGGCGTCAAATTTACAGAGACCTTTAATCTATACCGTAGTGGGCGTTGATTGAATTAGGTTCGATTTTTTTCTCCGCGCAAATTGCATCATCACTAACACGTAATAGGGAAATTCATGTTCACAGCTTTATAATCCCCAAGCCAGTCGAATCACGTATGGTGGGCACCTCAATCCCCGTTCCTATCTGATAATAATGCATGTCTTGTGATTGATTTTATCCTATGGCGTTCTACCAAATTCACACCTAGGTCCCATAACAATTTCCCGTTGCCATGGTTTCGCCATTCCATATTTATGCTAGTAGCATTACGAGTATGTAGATTACATCGGAGAGACATTCGCGGGAGCCATCGCGTTGGCGAACAATAGGCGGTGCCTTGCGGAGCTCTGACAACCGCGTCTTGCTTTTTGTGTGGTTCTACTGATGAGGAGAGCCTAGCATAATGCGGATCGCCATAATTTTCGTGGTAGGAGCTCTTCTCCTGTGCGCCGACGGGCACAGGGTTCCCGTTAAGCGGGAAATGGAAGAATCGGTACGGGAAGAAGACATGGCGGCGCTACGCGAACTGAGCCAACTCCTTGAAAGGCTGCCCAAGGTGAGGAAGACTCAATCTCAAAATTGCTGTAATTTTCAGCATTTGCGTCTTTCAGAATCTTCAATTTTTGTCTTTCAGAAAGGCTAGGCAAACTGTAAATGTGTGAGGACTTGCGTCAGAGAAAAAGGAAAACAACAGAACAATTAGCATTTCTTGTGGTGTAAGGAAAGACAATCTCAAAATTGCTGTAATTTTCAGCATTTGTAATTTTTGTCTTGCAGAAAGGCTAGGCAAACTGTAAATGTTGTAATAAGTACATGTATGAGGACTTGCGTTCATTTCAGAAAAAAGGAAAACAACAGAACAATTAGGAAAACAATTAGCATTTCGTCTGGTGTAAGGAAAGACTCAATTTAAAAATTGCTGTAATTTTCAGCATTTGTAATTTTTGTCTTTCAGAAGGGCTAGGCAAACTGTAAATGTTGTAATAAGTGCATGTGTGAGGACTTGCGTTAATTTCAGAAAAAAGGAAAACAACAGAACAATTAGGAAAACAATTAGCATTTCTTATGCTGTAAGAAAAGACTCAATCTCAAAATTGCTGTAATCTTTTCCCCTTTCTGAACGACTATGCAAACTGTGAGTATCGGCGTAAGGATGAATATTTTCATAAATTTCATAAAATAATGTTTATTTTGGCAAAAATAGGAAAGCAACAGAATCATTTAGGGAAACAATTAGCATTTCTTCTTCTGTACTTGGTGCGTAACATGCTGTTTAGCATATCTGCTTTTTGTTTACGAGAATCGTCCAAGTAAAGAATGAAAGTTTAGCAGAAATAAGAAAACGACGTTATCATTTCTTCCGATGTACCTGGCATGTAACATATCTAGCATATCTACATTTCTGTTTCAGAGAGTTGTATAAATAAACAGTTAATTCATCTATCCTTAAGCGGAAACTATCTAATTTAGAATTTAAGAAGAAATCAAGAGCTATTCTTTCTATCGAGGAATCGTGGCAGTTTATACATATAGCTAGGCATAATAAGATGTATGAGAAGGGTCACTACGTGCACATGAAATATATTTACAGAAGCCGTGGTTTAATCTCATCCAAACTGACGGCCTATGACTGAATGTAAATCAAAATAGTCAATTTAACACTATAAAATTTATATCAAATCTATATTATAATTGTAGGGGGCATAACGAAGCATCAATCACTTGATCAGTCGTGGGAAAATTGTGTGAAGAATTTCTCTGATAACAACATTATACATCTTCAATAAATCGAAACGCACAACAAAATTTGACAGCAGCATCTTCCTAAATGGAATCATGTGAGAAAACGCAGCTCTGAACTGCTGGTCGCCTACCATCCATCACATATAACTCATATCAGCGCCTTTGTAGCCTGGGATATGAAATGTGGATCTAATATGTTATGAACAATGATGAGTCAGCACTAAGGAGCACTGGTCGTTGAAGAGGTTATACTGCAGACATTTTTTCTGCATCTCTGCACTGGTGCGGGTAACATCAAAATTACCTGCAACATACAAAATTGGATGTATTTATTTATTTATCATACCACAATTTATCATACTACAAATAAAAAAATCATACAAATTTATTTTACACTTCATAGATGGTTACAGCTAACGCAGCAAATATAAGCCCACATATGACTACCTCCCAGTACATGGACCAGTGCAGGTTAGGTGCAGGTAGACATAGAAATACCTGCACAGCTCTAATTCTATCTGCACTAACCTGCATATGAAGATTTTGGCCAAAGTACCCCCTGCAGTTCCACAACAAACTGCTAGGGGGGCCAAATCTGCACTGCACCATTTTTTTGTTTCTCATGAAATTGCTATCTGCCACCAACATATCAAAACCCTGGCGTGTCCAGGTCAAAAGATACAAAAAAGGGACGTTCTGCTTCAGTACCAAGGACAGCCACCAGCAATCTACCATTTACCTTTGCATTCCCAAAGCCTATGCACATACCAAATATCGTCACTCACAAGTCTTCTTACATTGGGCACAAATATGTGGGAACACAGACAGACATACAGACAAGTCAGTCCCCAAAATCATTTCTCATTGAGGACACTATATATCGTATCCAGAAGGTGTCTATCTAGTTCCGTTCCTGAATGGGTTAGAATTAGGATCAGGCACGGTTCTGGATACCCCACATGGATTCAAAAACGTCACAAGCTCTGTTCAGGATACGCGTAGACTATCCAGAACCGTGCCTGACAATGGTTCAGGAGAAAACACGTTTAACTGGATACAACAAAAATCAATGGAAGTCTCAATTGCCTCACAGAATAAGTCGTTATGGTAGAAAAAGAGGCAATAACCCTGCATTCAAACGGAATTTAATTTGCACAAGGACTGCATAACGTCTGGCGCTGCGCTGTGCAAGTGATTATTCGCCGTCTATCCACCCACGGCCTTTTTTATTATTAAAGGCATCAAGTTTTTAGGGCTTGGAAACCCGATTTTTCAAAGTCAATTTTCTAGTTGTTTATCTACATACTGAGTTGAAACCACACTGTCCCAATGTATATTGACCCTCTTGGAGCAAAAATTCCCAAAAGTCTGACGGAAAATGGTTACTGGAAGGGCTCTTGGCTGATTTTTGGGGCACCTCCCAGAAAATAAAGGACTGATCTTGGGGCTTGTTTCTGCAGCTTTAAAAGCCCACGGTTTGAAACACTGACTCAAATGTGCTAATGTGCAGCAGTATGTGTGAATATGACGAAGATTGCCTTATTCTAAAAATTTCCATTTTTGCTGCCATAAAATCGCATTGGATGCCTTTAAAGCACATGTATAAGAAAATACAAGACTACGATCACGACGCACTCAAGTTGATTACACTTGCATAAGCACCGCCATCGAACAGAAAATACTTAACAAGACATAATTCTACATGAAAATTACACACAAGCAAACAATGCAAACCAGACATTATTGGGGACAAATTTTAATATAACTGACCTAAATGCGCTGTCCCACCCCCACTCCCCCGTTCCCGTAACATTTCAAGAAATGTGCTAAATGTTATAAATCAAGAAAGTTCGACACGGTTACTTTTGGAAATGAAATCTTGGGTAAGAGACATAATTTCACCATCCACCCACGCTCACTGCTTGAGGCAGATGAATGTCGTGATCGCGCCATTTTCCTCATCAAGCACAATGCAGTCGCAGCATTTCGTAATGAGCCAGTCAATTTTCTTATCATAATAGACACAAATTACATTTAATTTCCGCGACCTCGTATGTTTGCCAAATAATCTCTGGCTCATTAACCGTGAAGAATATGTCTAAATGATGATGTTAACCTCAAGCTACGTGACGTGTGTAACAAGTATGAAATCCCATAATTTACCAGGGCGTATTACAGAGATTCCTCATTAATTATGCAAACGAAGTCAATCTATAAATGTTTGAAGGCCCTATTATGGAAAAATGGTGGTATGGTAAACCAGTCATAATTGCCCTGATGAAGGTGACAGACGGCTAGCAAAATGCCTTCTCTTCTGGTTGTGCACTTAACCGTACTTTTCAACTATTCAGCAACCTGATGAAATTATTCACGGCTTGCCGTGGAAAGCAGTGGATTTCTTATTTATCCTCGTAAGCTACCGTGGACCCATCTCTACCATAAGACACACATGTATGGCTCCAGCCTTATCTCCAAACAGATCTCTGGGGGGCAACACACAATCCAACCTAATATCCACATAGATCCTACCGTGGCAAGGCAGTATCCATTGGCTACACCATTAGCCACTGAAGATCAAACCGTTCCAAGGCTATTAACACCCGATTGTTGCCAAGTAGTTGCTGATTTCCCCAGGCCCATGACCCTGTCCGGTGGCTAATGGTCACTCCTCTGGCCAGTGGAAACAGTCTTGCCACCGTAGGATCTGCTTGGAGATGGCTAATGGACACTCCTCTGGCCAGTGGATACTGTCTAGCCACCGTAGGATCTGCTTGGAGATCAATCCAACCGGCCATACAGTGTCCAATTGGCCCTTGTAGGATCAAGAACCGTGCTTTATCCAGAACCATGCTCAGGCACGGTTCTGGATAGTCCACGCATATCCAGAACCGTGCCTGGGGCAAATCTACATTCTTGGATCCAGAACCTTGCTTAATCCATCACCATGATAAGGCACGGTTCTGGATAGCCCATGCGTATCCAGAACCGTGTTTGAGGCAAGTCTACGTTCTTGGATTCGCGGAGACTATCCAAAACTGTGCCTGATCCTATTGCTAACCCATTCAGGCAGAGAGCTAGATAGGCGCGATTCAGGATACAATGGCTCCAGTAGGATCTGCTACAGAACGTACCTGGGCGGGGCCGGCTGGATATACTGTCTAGCCGGTTTGATATTGTCTAGCCCCAAGAGATCTGCATGGAGATTAGCCTCAAGCCTGCTCTCTTTTACAAGCTGAAGTCAGTGATGTCATACCTCCGCAATCAATTGTAGAGTTTCTGTATGATTTATTCAGAGGATTAGTAGCACGGAGATGTCTGTATTTTATTTTATTCACATATATTTATTGAGTTTTGGGCAAAAAGAAGGAGTTGCTTATATAACACCTTCTACCAAAAAACATACAATGAGAATATAACACATTGACAAGATACATGCATAGTTACAAGGTGGATAAAACCAAGATAAATACAAACAAGTTGGTGATCTATATCAATTACGAGAATCTACCCGTACAGTAAATGAAGTTTTGAAGTACATCAAAAACATAACAGCTTTGTAGGTGTGAAAGTGATGTGGACCCTCGAGGTAGCAAGGAACATAGGGAACTGTATTTTCCACCACAGAAAGAGTCACATAGCTGGCACTCATTAATGATGTAATTTACACCATCAGCTTGACTTATAACTACAATTGGGCTGGCCTGTGTATTGGCCTCTGGGAACAGTCTGGCATATAAGCTGCCGGTTGGCGCCCGTTTCTCGTAATGTGGTGACTGTCGGAGAGAACTCTGGCATTTCTGAGAAGGCCAGTAATATTGCTACCAAAAGCACCCGTGGGATACGAATAGCAGGCAACAACCCATCAATCCAGTCTGCTATGCTACAAATTTGCCACACGCTATGAGCCTAACGGGTAATGCTTTTAATTGCCTTTTAAGCGGATTGTTTATTTTAGTCATTCATCTATCATCGTATTAACAGCGATCATCAGCTAGCTCCTTAAAATCGCCTGAAACTCTTCTGTCTGTTGCTTTTCGCGGATTGTGACAAGGATATTATGCCGTCAGTGGATAAGGTTTGAACTCGGTGCAAAGCTACCTCTGTTGTCTCGCCATTGACCGTTGTTTCGATGTTAAGCCCCACTGTAAAAATCTGCTCTCAGAGGGATTATTGGTTTTGCCAGTTACATAATGTTCCCTTTTGAGGTAGTCGTGTCAATACATTGTCTGGACGGCAAATCTTTCATACGCCTGTCTTACGTGCACACGAAGTAGGGATGTCCACAATTCGCACATCTTCATTAATATTTCCAACACTCTCTCTTCCTTCTCAACGCACACTGTTCTGCTGTCAGGACAGAGAGTAATTTAGTAACGTCGCACTGAAGCTCCGGAGACAAGACGAATGGATCAGAGACGTGTCCATTTGTTTCTTATTGCCTACATGTACATGCAAGGGGAACAGTTTGATGAGTCCATGACAGCACAGTACACTGCAGGTTGCTCTTACTCTACTTTGATCTCTCACATGGAGCTTCATCGCTCAAAACATTACATCTGAAGCTCAGGAGAGATGTCGAAGGGATTAAACATGTATGCTTCCGTTCGGCTCTTATTGCAGTGGATGCATCTATCATGCCAGCACAAGGGGAACACTTTAAAGTGCTCGTGGCTGCACACCATACCACATGCGGCTCTTACTGTACTTTGCTCCCTCGCATGAGGCTACATTCCTCAAAAACATATATGAAGCTCAGGAGAGAGGAATAACCATGTGTAGTTCATTTGGCTCCTCTTGTATACATGCAAGGGAAACAGCTTGATGAGGCCTTGACAACACACTAAACCACAGGAGGCTTTTCCCGTACTTCGCTCCCTCGCATGAGCTTCATTGGTCAAAAACATTACATATGAAGCTCAGGAGACATGTCGAAGGGATTAGAACATGTACGAAATTGCACTGCATGCATCTATCATGCCAGCACAGGAGGGTCACTTTGATGCACCCATGGCAGCACACTAAACCACAGGCGGCTTCTACTCTCATATTGGGATTCATTCCTCAAAAACATTGCATATCAATCTCAGAATGTGCTTTAATTGCACGGCATGCATCTATCACGCCAGTACAGGGTAACTATTTGATGCGCCCAGGACAGCACACTATACCACAGACGGCCTTGACTATAATGTGCTCGCTCGCATGTGGCTTCATTCTTCAAAAACATTACTTAAGAATCTCAAGAGACACAAAGAAGGGATTAAAAATCTGTGTTTCTATTTGTCTCTTATTGCATTGCACAGCACACTATACCATACTGAATTGTACTTCCTCGCATGGCGCTTCATTGCTCACCGACGTGTTCTCACTGATCATTAATATTGCAGGAGCGGGGTCCATGGGAGTAAACTCAAAGTCGAAACAAAATACGATTCACGTCATTGTGCCCCGCAACGGGTAGATGAAAAATGTGTTCCTGAAGTTCGAGGCGTGCAAGATTTATTAATATTGGCCCCGGCGGACCCAGGATAACGTATTATGACGTCTCTATGCTGCAGAAGGCCTGCATGTAGGGTTTTCCGGTGAATACAGATGGCGTAGACAACTAATGTACTAATAAGACATTTCTGCACGTACAAAAAAGACATAAATCAAATATATCAGCCAAGAAAGGTGCAGGACAATTACAATTTCCACGTTAATGGTGTTTGAGGAATGTATTAAAAACACCACGAAAGTGGCCTTCTTGAAATCAGGATGTTATTGTTATGTTTACCGATGGAAAACATATTGTTTTTGCTCCATTCTTCTTCCGTTCCAAACACTGACCTCTGACCTGGACAATTACCTGAACCAGACCGTCTCTCACCATGGTAACTGGTGTTGGGTTACATCATGTTGCAATTTTATAGTAGGAGGGATGTAGACTCCTGTCACCATATATGTGAATGTGCTTGAGTAAGAATTAACAGAGAAGACCATATTTATCATTAATCTATTATTAACCTCAACCTGGTCATTTGGATATTTTACAGGTTGACGAGGGGGAGCGAAAGAGGTACAAAGAGGAGGAATATGAGCCAATGTACAAGAGAGGAAGTGACGAAGAGGAAGAGCGAAAGAGAAACAAGGAAAAGGAGTACGAACCAATGTACAAGAGAAGCAGTGAAGAAGAAGAAGAGAGAAAGAGACACAAAGAGGAGGAATTCGAACCAATGTACAAGAGAGGAAGTGAGGAAGAAGAAGAGGAAGGCGAGGAGCGAAAGCGCCACAAAGAAGAGGAATATGAAGCCATGTACAAGCGGGGAAGTGAAGAAGGAGAGGAGCGAAAGAGACACAAAGAGGAGGAATTCGAACCCGTGTACAAGAGGGGAAGTGAGGAAGAAGAGGACGAGGAGGAGGAGGGGGAACGAAAGAGACACAGAGAGGAAGAAGAAGAGGAGCGTAAGAGAAACAAGGAGAGCGAGTACGAACCCATGTACAAGAGGGGAAGTGAAGAGGAGGAAGAACGAAAGCGACACAAAGAGGAAGAATTCGAGGCCATGTACAAGAAAGGAGACGAGGAAGAAGAAGAGGAGGAGGAGCAAAAGAGACACAAAGAGGAGGAATACGAACCCATGTACAAGCGGGGAAGTGAAGAAGAGGAAGACGAAGAGGAGAGAAAGAGACACAAAGAGGAGGAATATGAGCCCATGTACAAGAAGGGAAGTGACGAGGAAGGTGAGGAGCGGAAGAGACACAAAGAAGAAGAATACGAGCCGATGTACAAGAGGGGAAGTGAAGAGGAAGAGGAACGAAAAAGAAACAAGGAGAGGGAGTACGAACCCATGTACAAGAAAGGAAGTGAAGAAGAAGAACAGGAAGAGGAGCGAAAGCGACATAAAGAGGGGGAATACGAACCTATGTACAAGAGGGGAAGTGAGGAAGAAGAGGAAGAGGAGCGGAAGAGACACAAGGAGGAGGAATTCGAACCCGCGTACAAGAGAGGCAGTAGTGAAGAAGAAGACGAAGAAGAGGAACGAAAGAGACACAACGAGGAGGAATATGAACCCATGTACAAGAAAGGAGACGAGGAAGAGGAAGAGGAGGAGAGAAAGAGAAACAAGGAGGAAGAATTCGAGCCCACGTACAAGAGGGGAAGTGAAGAAGAAGAAGAAGAGGAAGAAGGAGACGAGCGAAAGCGACACAAAGAAGAAGAATTTGAGCCCATGTACAAAAGAGGAAGTGAGGAAGCGGAGGAATTGGAGGAGCTCCGCAAGCTTCTGGAAAAACGAGAGGAAAAGCGGAAGAGGCACAAAGAAGACCTATCAGAGATATATCGTAGACAAGACGAAGCTGGAGGTGAGCATAAAAAGGATGAATTTCAGATAAACTAAATCGTAATCGTAATGGTACATGTAGATGACATTCCAGACAAAATTTGATTAATTTTTAAGTGGTGTTAAGCAAACCTGCCCATGAATGATATTTCTCCATGATCAAGTAGACAAACTTTAATCTGAAACGCTAGCTCATGTCGTTTTGGAATATGAAGAATATGAAACTCCTTAGACATATATTGCTAGTACTAGTATGATCGATTTTTGCAATTCGTAGAGGCAGAGTTTGCGATCGTAATCTATGTAAGTCTCTGCTGGTATATCGGGCAGCTACGTAGATTGGAAATCCGGTATTGGATTGTGCAAATGTCAAGTACGTATTGCCGGTTCGCGCCCAATTCTTATCTCGACGTACTTCTTATTAAACAATCCATCAAGTTGATGTTACAAGGTGGGTAGTTAACGGGAACTTTGCACGTCCAGACGTCTTACTGAGGGACGACTGCGGTGTGATAGATCGTGGTTAGGTTGAGGAATGAATCCACTCTACTTTATAATTACAAGATGATGTTGCAAGGATTGTGACTATGTTATGATGTAGAGATACAAAGTAAGCCTGTGCCTACAGGAGTATGTGTAACTCGCAAAAGTTTGGGAGTGGCATTACCCTCCACTAGGCCTTTCTACGGGAGTACGGATCTTAGAATTCGACAGAAAAGGGAAACAATTGGCCAGGAGAGTCAGTCCACAGGAAGGTTGATTTCTCCCTTCGAAGCGCAGGCAAATGAACTCTACGGTGGCCAAATTCCTCTGGCCAATTATTCTCCCTATTTGGCTAAATTTTACTTGTTTTTGAACCCGTGTTTGAATTCTTGTGAAGACTAGGGTATCATATGGTCTTTTCAGACCTATGAATCCTTGAAGATGCCTACACGACATAATGTGGAATTTATTTATCTGTGTTCGAAGATGGCGGAGTGAGAGAGGCGCTTGAAGAGGTGAAGAAGGGATGGTGGAGTGGAGGGAAAACGCAGTTTGGCAGCAACGGGGTGAGTCCACTTTTAATTATGTTATATTCAGAAGAAAAACGCACAGTTTTTGCTCTGTTTGTTCTTCTCCAAGTAAATAAGGTCAATTGCCTGGACCAGATGTCTGTCACCATGGTAAATGGTGCTGTAGCAGACGCCCTTTGGTGTTGGATTACATTAAGTAGCACGTTGCAGCACAGATCTGGAACGGCTTGTCACCATATGCCCTGAACTAGATGTCTGTCACCATGGTAACTGATGTTGTAGCAGACATCCTGTGGTGTTGGATTACATTATATAGCAAGTTGCAGGACAGATTTGGAGGGGCTAGTCACCATATGACCTGAACTAGACGTCTGTCACCATGGTAACTGATGCTGTAGCAGACGCCCTTTGGTGTTGGATTACATTATGTAGCAAGTGGCAGAACTGAGTTGGAAGGGCTGGTCACCATATGAATGTGCTTGAGGAAGAATAAACAGAGCAGTGGTTTGTTAGGCTAGACGAGGTACATTGTGCATTTGCTGTTCAAATGCTGCCTTTCTAGTTATTTTGCCCTTTTAAAATTACAGGGTTTTGATGATATATAATTGTGAAAAATTTTGTTCAGGGCTGTGCGGGAGTCGGAGGAAGCTGCAAGAGCAACGCTGACTGCTGCTCCAAGAGCGAGTGTGTCCCCGTGCAGAACTCATATTATCGCCGTGAGGGTAAGCCTATAATTATTTTCATTGTTTTTGCTCTCTCCCTCTTTCTCTCTCTCTCTCTCTCTCTCTCTCTCTCTCTCTCTCTCTGTGTGTATCTGTGTCTGTGTTTCCGCAGATTTTGTGAGTATAATTGTCAGATTTTGAGTATAACTCAAGAAGGATGGATTGTAATGATATTTAGTATGTGGCGTAGGTGTCTTGGGAAGACGAAGTTTAATTGTGGATCTCCCGGCCGCTGTCCTTGGTACTGAATATATGGTGGAATAACAACAGTTATATCATTATTATGCAAATATGATCCACTATCTGTCTGTCACTAACTGAGGTGGTTCCTGTCTTGTACATGGTTTGTATTTATGTCTAATAGTTACCCCTTTGTGTCTCCACGGGCTATTGGTGCTCATTTTAAACTTTTTGTGTGTTTTGTTGCCGTTTGTATCATACGCTTCATCCCCGCAAACTGCCCGGCCGGCCCCGGATTGAGAATTGTGACCTTAGCATTAGTAAGGCTATCGTGTGTGTGTGTGTGTGTGTGTATTTCTGCAGACGAAAAAGACCTGTATTTATTGTAATGATATTTGGAATGTGGCAAGACGAAGGTCAAGGTTAATTGTGGACCTCCCGGCAGCTGTCCTTGGTACTGAAGGGGAATTTCCGGATTTTGTCCTGGATATTTTTCAGTGTTCTGGATTTAGGCTGTTTTATCTTGTCTCTTTGCAACATATTATGCAAATATGATCCGCTATCTATCCGAGAAGGTCCATTGAGATAATATTTCATGTACATGTACATGTAACGTTACATACTTAGTGTCAAAGGCTCATCCCCCCCCCCTTCGTGTCTCCACAGGCTATTGCATGCCCACCTGTAAGACATGCGGGAAGGAGACAGCTGCGTGTTCTGTTCGTGTCCGCAGGGCCTGAGATGCAGCGACGTCGTGCAGGGAGGCAAAATCCGCTTCGTGTGCGACAAGCAATTCTCAGCACGAGAAGCCAGGGGCCACTTGGGTAAGTTAGGTACATATCATCTTCCGTTTATTATGGAAAATGTTAAACTGTTCTCCAACTCATAAATTTGACTCACCGGAATTTTCGACTGAATCACTCAGTCTTCCTCAGCTAGCTATCTGACCCAAATGCTGTGGACACCTGATTTTTCCCACGTGTGGCGTCAGAAAAGGTCAAAGGTTGTCTCAAGTCCATATCGCCCCCGTCCCGGCTGAGCGATGGTTGAAGTGCCCTGATGTACATGGCCTCTTTTATGTCTCTCTTGAAGTAATCCTGTTCGGTATCCAAGATTCTAACCCCCTCCAGATCCACTGTATGTCCCGGTGATTCTATGTGGATGTGCTGCGGCACCTCAGATCTTCCTTCTTCTTCTTGTATACTCTCTAACAACCCCTACTGGGGTATCACTGAGAGGGGGGGTGCGACGGACTATGGCTGCGCGGCCAGGGGTCCGGCCTTAAAGGCCTCCACTGTCTGGGCTTTTACTAACTGGCCCGGCAGCTTATTCTACTCATTTATTGTTCTTCGAAATAAAGAAAATCTAAAACAGTCTGTTTTGGCAGATATTGCTTGATATTATCTTCCGTTTATCTTAATGGCAGCAATTAAGTCGATAAGCTGTTTTGCCAGGATAATGGCGTATATATATTTCACTTCACACGTAATTGAGCACATAGGAGATTTGTGTAATGGTGAAGATGTAACGTTATAGTGTTTGTATCGATCACATCGCGTGTGCTCTGTCCATGTTAAGTGATCCTGCTGGCTACATGTACGGGGGAAGCCGATTAGTTCGACTAGCACTATTAAAGAGTTGCAATCATTCGAACTTAGCCTCCACCAGGCTTTTCTACGGGAATACGGATCATAGAATTCGGCAAAAAAGAGAATAGAATTGGCCAAGGGAGTCCGGCCGCGGTGAGGTTGTTTCTTTCCCTCCCTTTGTACGTGTACAGAAAATGATCCGAGTTTCCACAGACTAACATCGCACCGAGTTTCTACAGACTAACTGCGCGGCCCAGTCAAACCTACAGGGCGGCCAAACTCCCCGGCAAATATTCTCCTATATATATACTCAGCGTAGTTAGTCTGGTAGAGACTAATTCTAACTTGGTGTAGGAAGGTTTAATCACATCTAAATGCAGTTTTATTTGGTCCATATGTCCGCTGCTTGACTGTAAAAATGGCCTTCAAACTCTGCTAAGTCACGAACAGGCCATAAACTGTATGTCATATTTATGTCCTATGATCAGGCCATGACATGATTTTATGGAGGGCATCCGCGCGCTCATGAATTTTTGCCTGTTCTCCCAAACTCTAGATCTGTGATATCTCATCGTCCAAGTTCGTGTGGTTTACGTTGACTCTTTGGTGTGCATTTTTGTGCTGATTTCAGAGTGTCTGACCACTGTTTTGAATGAAGAATAAGAAAAATACAACCGCAGCTCATACATTTTTGCCTGTTCTCCCAAATCAGAAGCTGCTGGAAAGAGTAGACATTGGTCAAAGAGACAGATAACATGCCAGGGGAGTTGTTCCGCTAAAGCTAAAGGATTATGATTCGCCGCTCCTGATCCTTTAGCGGACCAACTTCCCTGGCACGTTATTCGTCTATTTGGTCAATTTGTATTCTTTCCAGCCGCTTCTGAAGCCTGGTAGTAGAGGCCAGATCTAGATCTTCCCCACAAGCATCTGTCAGCTCATAAATTTTTGCCTGTTCTCCCAAACTCTAGATCTGTGATAGCTCGTCGCCCAAGTCCGTGTGGTTTACGTTGACTCTTTGGTGTGCATTTCTGTGCTGATTGTGACATCCGCGCGCTCATAAATTTTTGCCTGCTCTCCCAAACTCTAGATCTGTGATAGCTCGTCACCCAAGTCAGTCCGTGTGGTTTACGTTGACTCTTTGTTGTGCTTTTTTGTGCTGATTTCAGAGTGTCTGGATGACCGTGACTGCAGGAAGAGAGGCGGCAGGTACTGTTTCAAGCACCTGACCTTCCCGTTGTCTTCCCGCTGTATCGGCATGTAGACAAGCAGCTGAACAATTCTACTGAAACTTACGTAAGTATTAACCTGTAAATAGTAGATCACATTAGTATGTATAGTTTGTAAGTGTCATTGCTGTATTCTTTTCCCTGTTTATCCATGACCTGTACTTAGCTTGTTAGAGCACAATAAAGGTCTTTCATTCATTCATTAATCTCCAAGCAGATTCTGTGGGACAAGGGGAGTCTATATTGGTCGCCTGTATACTTTTGGCCTCTTCTAACCACGTAGGGCGACCAGCGGTTACTTGACTTACTTACTTGATTTTTGTCGGGTGCCAGTCCTCCTCTGCCACCCGAACCACCCTGGCTGCCCAGTAGTCCTGCATAGCCTTCCCCATGCCATCAGCCTGAAGACTGATGTCCCTTTGCAACACATCTACGTAGGTGAGGGGCGGCCTTTCAGGCTTCCCTCTCCCATGTGCTGAGGACCACAGTACTAGGTTGGAGATTATTTCCTTGCTGCTTTTCAGAGAGTAGCAGTTACAGGTTGCCAATGTAGACTCCCTTGTCCCTCAGAATCTGCTTGGAGATTAAGTATTTCTAATATGTCCACCTGCACCAGTTAACCAGTCCACTTGCATTTGTCACAAGATCTTTCACGATTACTAGTATCCTCATACACTTAACGAATGTGTTCAGAGTGATCTTTCATGAGCATGTAGACGCACAGCTATAAAAAAAATGCTCCCAAGAGAGTTGTGGCTTTTTTATTACAACAATTCAGGACAACACATGGCATACTCAAGTTTTTTCAACTTATTTTTATACCGCCACCATCACAGAGGACAAATACAGGACAGGACAATACTCATTTTCACATGGGTTATGAGGGGAAAGTCGTGTAAAGTGCCTTTCCCAAGGGCACAATTGTATTGGTGGTATGTCAGGACTCGAACTCGGGACCTCTTGATTCTGAGTCGAGCACTCTGCAGTTACGCAACCAACACGACCTCACGACATTGAACGTGACATTGAATCGCGCTGATTAATCTCGAAGCAGATTCCATCCGAGGCCAGACACGATCAAATTGACCACCAGCAGGGGGGCAATCACAATTACCGGGGGCCAAATTGGACCGTGCTTGCGATGATTGCCTCTCTGGTCTTTCTCGGTTCTTGTAATTGTGTTGGCGAGCAATTCCACCTAAACTTGCTGCAACTGGTGTATTAAGGATAATCTGATACTTTATCGTACACTTATCGTACACTTAACAACACCTATCTAACACGTCATCCAAACAAGATAGCCTGAGTGGCCCAGCTGCCTCTTGTTGTCCCCCCATGGGACCACCTGGGGTCCCCAAAGAGGCGGAGTAGGCCCTTCTTACTAATGCCTGTAACCAACTCAGGGGTCAAAATCGTCAACTTTACAGTTCAATTTAGGCGCTAAAATGTGACACTGATGAAAAAATATGATTACGGACAATAAAAATAGACCTACAAGTCAACCATGTGAGAGAAACAAAATATATCGTCAAAATATGCCTCAGGGTGGGTTATTTAGTACCTTAAAGGCATCCAATGCAGTTTTTAGGGCTTGGAAACCCAATTTTTCAGAGCCAATATTCTACTCATTTATCTTCATACTGAGTTGAAACCACACCATCCCAATGTATATTTGACCCTCGTGGAGCAAAAATTCCCAAAATTCTGACGGAAAATGGTTACTGGAAGGGCCCTGGGCTGATTTTTAGGGTACCACCCAGAAAATAAAGGACTCATCTTGGGGGCTTGTTTCTGCAGTTTTAAAAGCCAAAAGTGTGAAATGCTGACTCAAATGTGCCAATGTGAAGCAGTATGTATCAATATCACAAAGATTGCCTTATTCAGAATATTTCCAGTTTTGCTGCCCTGAAATCGCATTGGATGCCACTTACCTAACTCTTATCTAACACATAACCAACACTTATCTAACACTTATCTAACACTTTATCTTGTTCTTTGCAGGCAGTTCATCGATCACATCGGTTTAAGACACAGAACCAGGCCATTGCTGATGATATATGTATAACGATATGTATATATATATACTTCAGCGGAAATCTGCAAGATTTGACTCTATGCTGACTGTATTGGATATTGGTTTTATTAAGTGTGCTTGTGTAATCGTGTGCTTCTTGTGTAAGTGTGTTCCCAATACGGATCTCGATGTACTAGCAATAATGACCTCATGTGAATCATGAGAGACGTCAGATATAAAAAAAATGTATTGTTATTCAAGTCATAGACGTAACGTATTACTTAAACCTTTCAAAGTAACGGAGATTTCTGCCTCAACATATGCGGAACTCGAAGAAATATGGCAGCATCCGAATGTGTATGAAAAATGTGCTTGTTTTCATGCATTTGATGGACGAAGTTTGCTGCATATATACCATAGTTCATGAGTCACGATTGGTGATGATGAAGTCATGAATCGTACATTCTACTCATGATGTGCAACATCTAAGGATATTTTACAAGAGTATCGAGAGAGATATCTTGGGAACAGCATGTTTTGTCATGATAAATATTCAAGAACATCTACTGCAGCCGCAGCAGCATTCGTAATCAGAAAACTAGAAAACATGAACAGTCGTGGACGGGAATAAGTAACTGGATTTATGACGAATTAACACACGAGCGTGTCTATGCATGTTAAGAGAAGACTGATGTAGTAAAAAAAGATCTGAATCATCCCGCCTACGTCGTCTTATATATTGTACATCAAAGAAAGTACGTACATTCTCCCACGCAGCTCCATTCCGTGGTAAAACCATTATCGCTGCATAGGTGTGCGTGGGAGAATGAGAAAGTGGCGATGCCAAGTTGATAGCTTGCGCGTATCGAGGAAGAAAAAAGTTGGCTGACAGTTTCAAGTTTCCTCAAGCCGATCTTGGACAAGTTGACAGTGTTAGCGCTTGGAGATTAAATCTAAACAAACTCTTGTATCATATGGTGGCTCACGATGGTGTTGACAGATGTTTGTGGGCAAGACCTAGATCTGGCCTCTACTACCAGGCTTCAGAAGCGGCTGGAAAGAGGAGACATTGGTCAAAGAGACAGATAACATGCCAGGGGAGTTGTTCCGGTAAAGCTAAAGGATTATGATTCGCCGCTCCTGATCCTTTAGCGGACCAACTTCCCTGGCACGTTATTTGTCTTTCTGGCCAAATTGTATTCTTTCCAGCCGCTTCTGAAGCCTGGTAGTAGAGGCCAGATCTAGATCTTTCCCACAAGCATCTGTCAAATGTCAACCGAGCATCGTGGGCCACCATATGATACAAGAGTTAGATTTCAAAGTTTGATCTCCAAGCGCTGATTTCGTCCGGGCATAACACTGTCAAATTGTCCACCGATATCCATTCGCCATCGTCATTTCGGGACGGGCCATGACACTTTCAAATTGGCCGCCAGTAATCACTGGTCACCGTAGATCAATGGATGCTGGTGGCCAATTTAATAGTGTCATGCCCCCGACGAAATCTGCATGGAGATTATTAAAGTTAAATGTGGGAGGAGATCGTACAAGTCACACTGCCTTCATTACGCCACCTCCGGGTCACGTAACCCATGATTGGGATCACATGCCCCACATTTTGAGTCACATTGGGTCATTAGTACATTACACATAAATCTATAACTCGGAGGCACAAGCACAGTGTCTGACAACCTGCCAGAAGGATGATTGAGTGCATTTGATAAGAAGGTAAGGAAGAAATATGGTACAATGTTGGTAGGCAAAATAAACATTAAAATTGCCTAGTAAGCTTAAGATTCACCGAAAGAAAGTTAAACGGCCAGACGTTCTGCTGCAGTACCATATCAGGATGTTATGGGGGCCTCGTGAATCTAATAATTTCCAGGTCTCATCAAGACCTATTCGGTATCCACATACAAAATATCAAGACAATCCACCAAAAAATGAAGCTTTCTCGAGTTATCGTGACTCGAAAAATCTAGCTACAGTAGTCTCCACCAGACAGGAAAAAGTGGGCTCAAAAATTAGTAAAATTTTGACAAAAAGGAGAATAATTGGCCAGACGATTTTGGCCAACATAGTGTTCGTTTGCCAACGTAGTTAGGCGGGAAATCAACCTTCCAGCGGACTGCCTCTCCCTGCCAATTATTCTTCCCTTTTTGCCGAATTCTACGATCTGTGCCCTCGTAGAAAGTCCTGGTGGAGGCTAGAGCAAATCTCATAATCGTTCTAGTATTGTAGAGTGGATTCATTCCTCAAGCTAACCGACATCTCGCACACGCAGTCATCTTTTTAATACATGACAGGCTGAGTAAAAGCGGCGGCCGGCTCCAGATGTCTTACTGTAGTCTCCACCAGACTCCTTTGCAGGCTGAATAAATAGAAGAAAGCGGCTAAGGGCGACATCATTGGCCAGAGGAGTTGGTCGGCCATAGAGGGCCAACTCCTCTGGCCAATGATGTCCCCCTTAACCGATTTCTACTATTTATTAAGCCTGCAAAGGAGTCTGGCGGAGACTAGTCTTACTGAGGGACGACTGCGCATGCGAGATCTGTATCTGTATCTGTATCTGTATAGCCGGTATAACCGCCTTTCGGCGTAACACACCAGCTTCGCAGGCACGCGGCGCGGCGGCAGCTGGCTATATTACACCGATCGACTTGTTACACCTAACCCTTGAACTTCTAGCTCTAGACATTGTTTAAAGCTATCTATTGACAGTGCCCCTACTGTACTTGGTGACAGTGAGTTCCACTCTGCGATAGCTCTAGGAAAGAATGAATTCTTGAACACCTCAATCCTTGGTTGATAACTCTGGTACTTGAATGCGTGGCTATTTCTTGTTCTCTTCTGGGCTGGTATTAGGTACTTAGTAGTTGGGACATCCACCAGTTTATTAGTCATTTTGTACATCATGCATAGTCTAGACATCTTTCTTCTGTCTTCAAGTGAGGTCCACTGTAGGTTTCTTTTCATTTCCGTGACACTAGCACCTCTTACATAGTTGTTCATACAGAATCTTGCAGCTTGATTCTGTACCCTTTCCAATTTGTCTTTGTCTTTCTTTGTATATGGATCCCATACTGTCGCAGCGTATTCTAGGTTCGGTCTTACAAGTGACGTGTATGCAAGTGATTTTACTCTCGTTGGACATGCCCACAGATTACGTTTAATCACTCCCAATGTCTGTTTCGCCTTAGTTGTGATATTATTAACATGTGCACCCCACTTCAGTCCGCTTGTCAGCGTGACGCCCAGATACGGATGGATTTTTGTGGTTGCTAAAGCCTGACCACAAAACTGGTAGCTAGTTGCATGTGGTGTTCGTTTGTTTGTTATGTGCATAATGTAGCATTTTTCGGGATTAAACTGCATGAGCCATTTGCTTTGCCATTCTTCCAGGGTGTTCAGGTCTTTTTGGAGAAGTTGTGAGTCGGTCTGTGTAGAAAGCTCTACATACAATAGACAGTCATCGGCAAATAACCTCACATTTGAGTCAAGCTGATCTGGTAGGTCATTTATATACAAGAGAAAGAGCAATGGCCCCAGGACGGTTCCTTGAGATGTCGGTATACGTAGCTTGAGGAATGAATTCCCTCTACAATATACCTCATGATCGTTCTAGGAAACGCTGAGGAATTATATAAGCTCGATTCCGGATACACAATAGGGCAATCGCATAACGGTTTGAATAATTCTCCGATCAATTGTTTCTTACAGCGATCGATGTGTGAGTAATGGAGGACGCGTCATCCATGGAATATACAAAATTCCATGAGTCCAACCTTCTAAATCTGTCCAGACACACTCACCCTAGCCTCCACCAGGCTTCAGAGACGGCTGGAAAGAATAGAAGTTGGACAAATAGCCACTAAATGTACTCAATTACGGAAGATAATTCATCAGGTTGCTAGACTGATTGTAGAACATGTGATATTGGGATTTGCCGGCTATTTACATGTACCTTGCTTAAGCGCCACCTATATCGGCTACATATAGCGGCCAGAAGCAGTACTCCAGTCAGAAGCTCTGAGGAAGATGTCTGATAGGCATAGAAACGTAAGCAAGGTGGGAGAAGTACTGGTAGTGTATAACTTCAGTCCATAAGAAAATCCCAAAACGTTGCCCTATGTTGTTGAAGAACAGGTGGAGCTTACAATACTAGCTAGTTGCATGATGAATACGAATTTTCTTTGCCATTGGAAGCTATATCAGACATATAAATCCATGAGTCCGAAGCTAGCCTCTATAGTTTTTAACCAGGCTTCGGGAAGCGGATGTAAAGAGAAGAAGCTGGCCAAAACATCCTTTTTTTTTTAGGCCAGGAGAATTAAATTGGTCCTCGCTATGAATTGACGAGTTTACCGCCCTGTTCTCTTTTGTTCTGTTGTTCCGCGCTATTAAAATAGCGCGGAACAACCCTCCTGGTACATAATCTGTCTATTTGGAATTGGCCAATTTCTCATCTCTTTACTTAAGATCTAAATGTAGCCGCTTCACGAAGCCTGATAGAGGCTATTTTAAATCGCACGGCTGCGGCCGTGATTCGGGACTATGAGATGACGTCATTACGCAGACGCACTGATGTGGAGGCTCTGCGGAAGGGTTGGCTCTCGTCTACTGCCGTTTAAACCATGTCTATACCGTACGTATCAACCCCTTAACCTTCATTTCCTGAACATTCACTCTTTGCAAGCTCCTAGAATAGAATTTTCACATTATGCCAATCAGAATTCCACCAGAACGGCTGTAGAAGGCACGTAATTTGCAACGTATCGGACAAGGGGCCAACCTCTGTCTGGGTTTGCGTCTGGGTTTTGTGTAAAAAGGGGCCGTTCGTTCAATGCCATTATAATGTTTACCTTTCAATTTTAACACAAATACTGTACGCTCGGTGTGCGGAATTATACTCCAGCTAGTAGTATTTTTAAACGAGAGAATGTTGACGAATTTTTGTGATGATATTTTGACAGATGGACGTCATACTACAGTGATTCCCAGTGACTGACGTTAGATTTTGGAGGCTGCTGTTAGGGGCGGTACAACCAAACATGTCTGCTGGGCCCTCCCCTATCGTCTGGGCCGCTGCGCTGTTCATAGCGATCGCCTGGATTGCTGGATGTAGGTTACGATTTTATTTCTCTACTTTATGCATGATGTTAATGTTTTTCTTGAAGAAATGTAGACAGAATGGATCCCTGGTTTGTTATATAAACCTTCTGTCAATGTACATGAGGGTCTGCATGTGGGACCTGGGTATCTGGATGTAGGTTACGATTTTATTTCTGTCCTTTATACATAATGTTAATGTTTTTCTTGAAGAAATGTAGAGAGAATTGATCCCTGTTTTGTTGTTATATTACCTACTATTAAACCTTCTAACCCTGTCAAATTATGTAGCATGAGGGCCTGCATGTGGGACCTGAATATCTGAATGTAGGTTATGATTATTTCTGTCCTTTATACATAAGGTTGATGTTTTTGCTTGAAAGAAATTCGTCAATTCCATGGTTTGTTGTTTCATGTATCACCTACTAACCTTACAACTCTGTACATGTCAAATTATATAGCATGAGGGTCTGCATGGGGGACGTGGATATCTAGATGTAGGTTACGATTTTATTTCTGTCCTTTATACATGATGTTAATGTTTTTGCTTGAAAGAAATTCGTCAATTCCATGGTTTGTTGTTTCATGTATCACCAGTACTAACCTTATAACTCTGTACATGTCAAATTATGTAGCATGAGGGTCTGCATGGGGGACCTGGATATCTGGATGTAGGTTACGATTTTATTTCTGTCCTTTATACATAATGTTAATGTTTTTCTGAAGAAATTTGTAGACAGAATTGGTCCCTGCTTTGTTGTTATATTACCTACTATTAAACCTTCTAACCCTGTCAATATAGCATGAGGGTCTGCATGTGGGACCTGGGTATCTGGATGTAGGTTACGATTATTTCTGTCCTTTATACATAATTTTAATGTTTTTCTTGAAAGAAATGTAGACGGTTTGTTGTTATATTCCCTGTTTTGTTGTTATATTATCTAATACCCTGTAAGTGTAGCATGAGGGTCTGCGTGTGGGACCTGGGTATCTGGATGTAGGTTACGATTATATTTCTGTCCTTTAAACATGAATTTAATGTTTTTCTTGAAGAAATGTAGACAGAATTCGTCAATTCCATGGTTTGTTGTATCATATATCACCTACTAACCTTCTTATATAGAATGAGGGTCTGCATGGGGGACCTGGGTATCTGGATGTAGGTTAACCTAATTAATGGGGGGCCTGGCAACACACAAAGGTAAGATTTACGCGAGTACAATAATATGATAATCCCAATAATAAATCGAGGTGGATATTTGCTCAGCTGAAATGCAGCTAGATTTAATCCTGATCCTTGGTTTGTCATTTAATATGTTACCTACTGACCTTCTAAACCCTGTCAATGTGGCATGAGGGTCTGCATGGGGGGACCTGGCAAATTGCCATTATACTACTGTAAGATTTAGAAGGGCTAGTAACATGCAGAATGCAACAGAACTTATCCTTGGTTTGTTGGTTGTTTTGAGTTTTACCCACAAACCCTGGTAACCTTCTAACCCTGTCAATATGGCTTGAGGCTCTGAATGGGGGGACCTAGCAACACATAAGGGCATAAGAGTAAGATATATTGATGTGATTGCGTTTTTGGTTACGTCAATTACTGGCCTACACATGCAAATTCTCGCAAGCGAAGATCCCTCCAATACGGACGCGTGACTTTCTGTTGTTTATTGTGAAAAACGTATCAGATAAGACCCTAAGTATGTATGATATGTAAGGTGTGTTAAGGTGTTACGCTTAGATAATTGTAGTGCGCAAAGGAGTGCCGTTTCTATAGGTTATTTGGTCATGTGGAACAGGCCACAAAGCGAATAAAAAAATTCCGGCCAAGAATAAAAATGCTGCTTAACCACAGGAATACAAAGCTGGTATTGTGAATTTGTGGCAGTGCATAGCGACGTATACGACAAGCCGGCACATGATGGCTTTTCTGTGGAATTTATAAATCGGCACTGTGCGTACTGAGTTCTTGCCATCGATGAGCTTCGGTGATCTAGGTGCCATCCTCCAGAGTTACCACCAGCTCCGTATTGTCGCTGACCACCATGGACTGACTACCCAGGCCTAGAACCTCCGAAGACGTGATCTTTTTTGTTTGTTTTGAGAACAGGCGAAAATCAATGCGCGCGTGGTTGTCATCCATAAAATTAATTTGGTGTGGCCTCGTGTACATGTTATTTTTACAGCAGTCTCCACAGCGACAGCCACATACTGTGCGTACTATGACCCAGACCAGCGCGCCCATGACTACACATATGAAGATGATGTGGATGATTCCGTCTTAGACCTAGTAATAAGCTTTTTTATTTCATACCCTGGCGGTGATAATCTTCGATAACGGTGTTTTGGACCGGGCAGTACTTTCCGGTATTGGCCCGGGCTTCCATGGCTTCCATAGAATGATTTGAACGCATTTCACCCTAACCGCGTTGTACATGTTTTTTTGCAGCAGTCTCCACAGTGACAGCCACATACTGTGCGTACTACGACCCAGACCAGCGGGCCCATGACTACACATATGAGGATGATGTGGATGACTATGGAGAACCCATCCCACAAGACGAGGTCCTGGCTGACAACAAGACCATGAAGTGTTCCCAGGACAAGGACATCTGTTTCGCACTCTGGGAGGCTCCTATGGGGGGAGACCAGATCAAGATACTCAAACAAGGTACTGAGATTGTAAATAATTTCATCAGGTTGGTGAATGATGGAATATGAAAGTTGTTTATTCACAACCATTTTGAAGAGTTGACGTTTTGATAACTATCTGTCATCTTCATTAGGACTATAATGACTTGTTCACATTGTACTGTGAAGCAGTAACACCTAGCTTCAGTGCACTGCAAACCAGTTGTAGTTGCCCCGATGAAGATGACAGACAGTCATCTACGAAACATGGGCTCTTGATAAACAAGTGGTTGTGTGTGAATGTGAATAAAGAACTTGTGAAAATGGCATTGTTCAAATATCCTCAGTTAAATACAATGAAGAACGAGGCTTAGGATTTTTCAGTAGACATTTTAGTGCACTTGATTTCATGCATGATTTTCAAAGGATTTGTAACACTGAATGTTCATGAAATGCTGAAATAGCATGTAAGACTTGGTATATGTTTCAGGTTGTTGGAACCACCCCGGTAAGGAGCATGCCTGTGGAGAGCCTGAGTGCTTCACCCGTGGCCCCTCCCCGCCATCCATGAACAAAACCAAGTTCTGCTGCTGTAAGGGGAACATGTGTAACGGGAATGTGACAGACCTGTACGTTGCTCCTGTTACCAGCGCACCACCTTACCCCACTCCAGGTGAGAACATCGCTGTAACTGTAATTTGTTGTCCTTTACATTGTAGTTTTACTGAAGCATAAATTGGGAAATTATTGATGTCAGGGCTAAAAATATGTTTTTCTGCACACATGCACTGTTACAAGTAACACTGAAAATCACCAGACAAATTTTACCTGCACCACTCAATTTGGGACGCATTGACCATGCTAAAAATTGTCCAGAAACCATTTCTTTTATTCTCCATAGCTGTGCAGTGCAGGTTTTAGGTGAAGGTACAGTAATGGGAGGGGTCCTAATTCCGACCTATGTTCCATGCAAACGCACATACCTTTGGTAATGGTTTGTCTCACCAAAAACCCGCCTAATACGAGCTATAATATTTACAGATAAAGATAACAACGATTAAAGCTAAATAGCTGTGTATTTCACTTTAGTGTGGCGCCTTGCACCCAAGCGTAATGGTTCGCGAAACTTACGGCAGGTTTTTCGTCATTCTGCCGGTGGAACGTTCTATCGCAAAAGGGGTGCCCTAATTCCGACCTAGTATCTAACAAAGGCCAATCTGAGGAGAGAGTTAGGTATCTAAAATACACAAATTATGACTAAAACAATCTATAACTATTTTTCTGTCCCAAACAAGTCTTCTTTGTACCATTACGCTACTTGCTCCAAAGCGGCTGTTTCAAAATCAAAGCTGCGTTTTTTAACACGCTCGTCAACCCCCGAGCAAGCGTCGAATTTATACAGATTTTTCAATCGTCTGTTATCGGAGCGTGCGAACTGGAACAAACTTTGTGAGAATACCGATATCAACACAGAAACTTTGTCCATTCTTGTGGTTATTTATAGGCACGTGCTCCCATGCATAGCGCGGCGACAAGGATTTTTCAAACTAGTACGGAATTAGGGGTAGGTCGGAATTAGGACACCCCCCGTTAGACATCAGAAATACCCACACAGCTCCAATTTTACCTACATTCGCAGGTGGGACTTCGAGTCCTAAAGGGTGTCTGGACATTTTCATTATTTCTGATGAGAAATTACACTAAACTGTTGTAGTAGAAGCTTATTTTATTGACTTGAAGTGTCATTTTTGTTCCTCTCCGCAGCATACGCCCATCACAGTACCTACAAGGAGGAGACCACCATCATTGTGATGACTGTGGTGTGTTCTACAGCCATCATTATCTCAGCTGTCTACTTCCTCATCAGAGTCTGGCATGGTAAGTCAGACCTTCTAGCTTGAACCATGCGCATGCATATGTATATTCATGTAGCAGCAAAGAAAATGGATTTTAATTGTTCCTTTATACAGACAGAAAGAGGTGAGTTTTGTTTCTATCCATTATCATTTGTTTACTGTTTAGATGAAGATAACAAGTCATAATAATACAAAGGTCATGATACGACCTTTGCATTATTACTCAGACTTTCAAATGCTTCATTATTTTGTCATTACATACAAATGAAAGATTATTACCTGGTGGCAGTATTCAAGTATGATTTTAGATTGGTTATTACACATGTACAAATGTATATCATGTTCAGTAGCATCCAAAAGGTGTATGTTTTCATTATACCGTTTAAAATGTCTAAGTTTTGCAGAAGTTATAGTGTAACATTTGTCAAGCATTTTCTAACAATTTATTGTACTGCTCCATTCAGGGTCCCAGAGTGAGGTCCACCACACCATGCACCTGACAGACGATATCTCCATTACTCCTAGTCTGGACATGGACAATCTAAAACTGCTACAAGTTCTGGGTAAGGATCTTAGACACTTTTCAGGTAACATTGAAAATTACTGGCACCAGACATATTTTAGCTGCACCATTCAGACTTTGAGAAGAATGGATCTAACTGAACACTTTTCATAACCATTGCCATTAATTCTGTTGTACTTTATAGGTGGTCAATCTAGCAAACGAAGTCCACATAATCCTTCATTTCTAATATTTTGTAAACCCAGTAGACAGTTTGTTGTGAGCCTGCACATTGCTGCAGTTCAGGAGACACATGCCAGGTGGCACTTTCTTTTCATCATTCTGGCTGTGTATAAAGGCAAACTTGTACTCCTATGACTGGCATTAGATTTTACATAATATAATAATGTAGTCATCACAAGTCAAATATGTTTGTTTCTGTGCTTCCCTACAGATCGTGGTCGATATGGATGTGTCTGGAAAGGTTCCCTGAATGAGAAAGAAGTGGCGGTAAAAGTGTTCAACCCCTGCCATAAGCAAAACTTCCTGAATGAGAGAGACATCTACACAACACCACACATGGAACATGAGAATGTCATCAGGTTTATAGGTAGGCACTTGCCACTGGTTAGTCTAACAATATGATAGATTTTGCCAGAAGTTGTATTAAAAAACACACCAACTTTATTTGCAGGCATGCATGCACAGTGTGGTGGTAGCTGGCTATGTTACACCAAACGACCTGTTACACCTGATTTTTGCACATCTTACTGTAAACAGTACTTGGTGACAGCGAGTTGCACTCTGTGATATTTCTAGGAAAGAATGGGTTTTTGAACACCTCAATCCGTGGTTGATAACTCTGGTACTTGAAGGCATGACTATTTCTAGCTCTTTACCAAGCTGGTTTTAGAAACTGTAACATTTTGTACATCTTGTATGAACCAGGTGCTGAGGAGAGAATTGGTATGGAGGGTACAGTGGAGTACTTACTAGTGATGGACTACGCCCACCATGGTTCCCTGTACCACTACCTGAAGACCTACATGGTGAACTGGACAGGCATGTGTCGGTTAGGTCACTCCCTGGCCAGGGGACTGGCTCACCTGCACTCTGACTTTGTCAAAGGAGGTACGTGGTTGTCAGTATGCTACAGTGGCAGAGCGTGTCAGCAGAACAAACTGGGCCTGCTTGAAACTGAAGATTTTTCATGGTTTTTGTTGGATGTTTGGTCAACGCTGCATCAGAATTTTGCTCGTTTCACAATATGTTTTCCACTTTTCCAACACATTCTTTTGATACACGAATATGACGCAATACTTTACGGGTTTGGTGCAGATACAGTATGTTCTGCTGACATGCACAGTTGCATGTCCCCCTGTTTTTGATTCAAGCTGCATGAATATGTCCAAAAAGGTTAAGTTTTCTCGTAGCATTTGTATGTGTGTACTTTGTATGTAACATTATGTGGTTTAGTACTGTAACCCAAAAAGCTTTGGATAGAGTGTCATGAAATTTGATAGGTGTGTAGGTCTTGATGAGCCAGTACATGTATAATTGATTGATTGATTGATTGATTGGTTGGTTGGCTGATTGGTTGATTAATTGATTGATCAATTGATTATTTGTTTCTCCAGGTGAGAGTAAACCAGCAGTTGCCCACCGTGACTTGACCAGTCGTAACATCCTGGTGAAGGCAGACGGCTCCTGTGCCCTGTCAGACCTGGGGTTTGCCATGAGACTGACTGGCAACAGGATCTGTAACCCTGGGCAGGAGGACACAGCACACATCACTGAGGTGAGGGGTGTGACCAGTTTAAGGAGACATGACTAATACATGTTTTATTTGAAATCAGTAGCAGCCTCATTAGCCTTAGAGTCATTGTGTGTGTGACAAAATATTCCCCCTATATTCATACACAATTACAACAACCAACCACACACGCACATACACACAAGTACACACACAGACACATGCACATGCACACGCAAACACAAACTCATGCACAGACACACACACACATACATGTACAGACACATACATTCACATATATACATTGAGTACACACACACACAAACACAGAGCCATAACACTGACTTATTCAATATCTCAATGTTCCCTCCTACATGTACATGTACAATGTAAACACAGAGTGATGCAATGCTTTCCTGTGTTTTTATATCCAGGTGGGTACAGTTCGCTACATGGCCCCGGAGGTGCTGGAGGGAGCAGTAAACCTGCGAGATTTTGAGTCAGCCCTGAAGCAGGTGGACATGTACGCAGTAGGACTGATTCTGTGGGAGATAGCCACCAGGTGTCAGGATCTGTACATGGGTAGGTGATTCATACAACTTACAAAGTATTGTTACATTTCTATTGCATAGTACACACCTTAACAATTTTGTGGCAACTAGCAATGGAGGATGGTGAGTTTAAGCACCTGAAAAAGCATCTCAAGTTAGAGCATGCCCCCTTTTCCAAAAATGGTTGCAGTATAGTCAGTGTAGATATTACATGACATTTACAGTACAATTGGAAGGGATACCAATCAGAGTTTCTATTGACAGATACTCCTATTGGGACCCTGACATATCAGGGTTTGTTAGACATCAGACACCGATTTTACCTGCACAGCTCCAATTATACGTGCACTAACCTTCATGTGCAGGTGGCATTTTGAACCCTATTTATACATCCTGGAAAACCCCTCCTCTATCTCCCCAGGCCAGCCGGTGCCAGACTGCATGCAGTCATTCCAGGCTCCAATTTTTCTTGCACTAAGCTGAACATGCAGGTAGTATTTCCAGCCCTGCATACATATATACAAGCTTCTCCTCTGTCTCCCCAGGCCAGCCAGTTCCAGACTACATGCAGCCGTTCCAGGCCGAGCTGGGCCAGCACCCCACGTTTGAGGAGCTGCAGGTCATCGTGTCCCGGGAGAAGAGACGGCCCCTGCTGTCTGACGCATGGAGGGAGAACAGCCAGGTCAGTTTAGGTCAAGTTCAAGTCAGGCAATCATCAGTCAGTGTCAAGGGTTTGATACTATTTGACAATACCTCAGATGCAAGTATCTTACCTTAGCAGTTCTAGCCAATCCGGTTCTATCATTGCCTAGCAAATACAATCTCTCCCTTTTACATTCCATTTGTCAGTCTAAGAGTTTAATACTATTTGACAACACCTCAGGTACAAGCATTTCCTGGACTTATTACTCTTTAGTCAACAGGGAAGTGTCATTAATATCTCTTGTAGAGTTTGATGGGTTGTGGTTACTTTTGGTATGTACATGTACATGTAGATAGTACCTGTAAGTGATGATTGACATACTTGTTCCTGTACATGCCTGGCTCTCATTTTAGGAGTGTATGCTCCCCAAAAATAAGGTTGTGCACATAGAAATTTTTCATGGGAGCTCCTTCTACTCTGCACTTTTCTGGTGCATCTAGATTTTTGGTGGTGCGCCCACATTTTTTGAATTGGGAACACCCTGCTCCTAAGTAAAAAAACTTAGTCTGGAGCCCTGGGCTTGTACTTGTGTTTGTAGATAGTTGACACAGTCATGGAAGTATGATTTTGACTTCCCTAATTATAAATCCATCCTTTGCAGGCTGTGAAGTCGTTAAAGGAGACCATCGAGGACTGTTGGGACCAGGATGCCGAGGCCCGGCTCACAGCTCTGTGTGTGGAGGAGCGCATGGCAGAACTCATGTCCATGTGGTCTCGAAACTCAACGGTAAATCAGACATTTACTCCCAGTGAGCAGTCTGTAACCAGAAGAATGTGGTTTCCGTAAAATGTCATAATAGTATGGATGGACAGATGGATAAGTCAAGAGAACAGGGCAAAAACTGAAGTAGTCATGTAATTTTTTTCTAAAATTTGAGTCTTTTTGTTTTACTAATAATATTGCAGACCAACAAATATCTAAAGAAAGTCACTCATTCAAGGTCTGGAATGTTTGACATGGGCCGTGCAGGAATGCCATCAACATACCTGTATGTTCACAGTACTGAAAGCAGAAACCTTTCATCTAACAAAAGTCAGCTAACTTTTGTGTATCGGTAATGTGATGCCTGTTTTCCTCCACATGATGTTACATCTGACACACATTCTCCTTCCCCAGGTCAGCCCCACACTGAACCGCACGTCTACTGGAGGCTCGAGCGCCCCACAGTTCCGCTGGAGCAGCCTCTACAACGAGAACTCCTCCACCGAACCCTTACACAGGATGGGCTACCTGCTGGACACGTCAGATGGCAGTACCTCGCGTACAGAGATGATGGACGTAAAGGACACAAACGTTCATGTTAATACTTACCGTGGGCGGCAGGAAACGTCGGCAAGCTCGTGTAGCGATCCTCCCTTCATGAGCAGCAGGTAAGGAATTATATACCCGAAAATAGTTTCATCAGGTTGGTAAAGTAACATTATAGGACACAGGAGTTTTCTTTTACACAAGCAAAATTTCTCACATAAGTGCTGACATTTCGGTGTCTATCAGACACCTTCTTCAGAACTTCTGACATCGGCTACGTATACTAGTAGCAGCGAGAAACAGAACTCCAGTCTGAGCTCTGAAGAAGGTGTCTGTTAGACACCGAAATGTCAGCACTTAGGTGAGAAATTTTTCTTGTGTAAAAGAAAACTCCTCTATCCTATCAGGTAATTATATAACTACCTCCGGGGAAGGAGATATCTTTCTGTGGGAAGGTATTGTTTTTGTTCATGTTTATGTGTTCGCAGCTGTAACTTAATTGGTTTGATAGATTTCTTTGATTTTTGGTGTATGATTAAGTTGATATTGGGGTCCAGATGATGTGGGTTGTTTTTTGTGTCTGTATTTTCAGGTGTTCAAATATTATTAATAGTAATTTGACACCCCCGTGCTGTATGTGGTGTGGTATTGTCTATCAACAGCTGTTGTTGTCCACCAGGCTATACCACACTACTTTCAGGAGGAAAGATGACACAACACAAACTATACCTACATAGTGAGTGAGTGAGTGAGTGAGTGAGTGAGTGAGTGAGTGAGTGAGTGAGTGAGTGAGTGAGTGAGTGAGTGAGTGAGTGAGTGAGTGAGTGAGTGAGTGAGTGAGTGAGTGAGTGAGTGAGTGAGTGAGAGTGAGTGAGTGAATACTTTATTCTCGATTTCTTGTACAGTTTTTCTAGAAGGGTGAGGGGGGGTCACGGATTATACATAACAAATACAAAACAACAATATATATATACTAAAAGTTTAAAATCTATAATTTCTTCTGAAACCTTGTTGGGACTACGCATTCATGAGAATTGATATCTTCATGTTGAATTTGCTGTTGTTCTGCAGCCGGTACCAGAGGATAGCATCTCCCAGCACAGTGAGCACTAGTCTGTCCACCAACCCCAGTCTTCTGTTAGAGATGGAGTCAACGAACTCTCTCACCCCCTCTACTACTACTACAACACTGTCTGAACACACCAACACTGCTGCTGAAGATCTATTAGGTAAGTATAGATATACTTCCTTACAATGTCTGAAATACATAAACAAAATATCTACTATAATAATTTAGAGATGGAGTCCACCAACTCTCTCACCCCCTCCACCACCACTACAACACTGTCTGAACACACCAACACTGCCCCTGAGGATCTCTTAGGTAATATATATGGACTATACATGTACTTCCATACAAAGTCTGAAATACAAACAGAAAACATCTACTTTAATTAGAGATGGAAACTACAAACTCTCTCACCCTCTCTACTACAAACTCTCTCACCCTCTCTACTACAACTACTACACTGTCTGAACACACCAACACTGCTCCTGAGGATCTATTTGGTAAGTATAGACTATACTTCCATACAATATCTAAAATACAAACAAAATATCTACTATAATAATTTAGAGATGGAGTCCACCAACTCTCTCACCCCCTCTACTACAACTACTACACTGTCAGAACACACCAACACTGCCCCTGAAGATCTCTTAAGTAAGTATGAACTCAGTGTACATGTACTTCCCCACACTGAATTAAATAGCAACACAAAACAAGACAATCTGTTAGGTAAGTATGGACTCTACTTCCTATAATGTCCTACACACCAACACTGCCCCTGGAAATCTCTTAGGTAAGTATGAATTACACTTCCGTACAATGTCAGAAACACCAACACAACCCAAGATGAACTGTTGGGCTAGTATGAACGCTACTCCCTACAATGTACAAAATACCAACACAAAACAAGGTGGTCTGTTAATGTTATGTAAGTCTGAATCCTACTTCCTGTCTGAAGCACAAACTTGGAAACTTCACTATAGTAAGTAAAGTAACTTAAGTTTCCAACCCAGCTCTTCTCCTCCACCCCTCCAAAAAAAATGTCGGTGCCTGCAAAAGGGTTGACCACCTGGAAAAAATACTGTGACAGAAGATGCAAAGGGACCTTTTTTTTTTACCGTTTTAACGTCATTTTTCCACGAACCGGGGGTTAGGGCTTGCACGAAGTACAAGTCTTTTTGTTGAAGCAAGATTTTTACGGCTGGATGCCCTTCCTAACGCCAACCCAAACCCTAGTAGGGCCCAGGAACCCTCTAACTGAGGAGGGAAATATGTGTTAAGTGCCTTTTCCAAGGGCACAACGTCTGGGTGCAAATCTGGACATGTCTGGGTCCAACCCTGGGGATTGAACCTGGGTCCCCTTGCTTGACAGTTGGGTGTTCTATCCACTACACCACACAGACGCAACCTTGAGTATGGTAATAAGTTGCAAAAGAACAGGAGTGTCACTAACACCCACACTAACACATATGTACTCTTCTGGATTAGGAAACTATCCTGATCTCATCTCTGGCACTGCAAACACGACCACCCTGATAGAAATGTCAGAAACTCTGGAGAAGCATACAACCGACCCAAAGGCACCCAACACCCAACCCTGCCGCAAAAACTTGAACGAACTGCCTAAAAAACGCTCCATGGACAAGTACGAGAGAAACGAGCGCGCTCGCCATAGCAGAAACTACAATGTGAACATCCACACTAGCGACGAGAGTCTATCGGGGTCGGTGGACCATATGACATGTAAGGCACCCCCTAACATGAGTGTAGACAGGTTGACTCATGAAGAGGATTTGCTAGTGAAGCATATGCTCGCAGAAGCGGAGATGAACACTCAGCATCTACATCCCAACAAGCAAGGGCCGCTTGCGAAGCACGAAAACGTCCCGCAGCGTCCCACAACGCTGTCAATCAACACCGTAACAGCTAGGCCAGAAACGCTGGTCAAAGCTCCCGTCGAGAGCAACCATGCGAGAGGTAGAGCAGCCCCTGCAGTCAGCCAGAGTAGCCATTCCTCCCATGATGCAGCATCTAATAGTAGATGCAAGAAAGCACAGGCGGAACAAATCGAAATGGGGATAGCAAAGCTTGAATCCAACGGCCACCAACCGTCAAAGATCAAAATGAGTCCGCCACGCACTCACAACCGAGACAGGCCACCAAAGCCAGCGCACAGAGTCGACACAGAAAGCAGCGCTAGCAGAGAGAGCCGCAGTAGTGTAGCTCCAAACCAAACAGTTCCAACTGACTCTACCACACAACCCAAAAGCCAAGCACCACCCCATTCAGCAGAGACAACTGCGAAATCCAAACCCACCAAAGGTGGTGCAATGCAGCGGGCGAACAGTCTGGTTTTGCCAGACGAAACTGACGCTGGCAAGTGCCCGACGTCACGTCGGCCTCAGAGACCAACATCGCTCGACCTGAGCTGCTTCCAACAAGGCCAGAAGGAGCAGCCACCGCCGCGCGCCGTCAGCGAAATGTCTGGCATGGACCAGGTGGCACTGGAAGAAGGAAGAGAAGGAGGGAAAGATCCGAGCGCGAAGATCAAGAAACGGCCGAAGACGCCGTACTCCCTTCCCAAGAAAGGCCTGATGAGTTTTTCTGTTTTCACTCCTCCAAAAGAGAAAAGGGCAAACAAGTCTGCCTGTAAGGTCAACTATGTGAGCGGGAAAACCATCGTAAGTGTACTAAATGAAAATAAGAAAACTGGGAATGGTACAAGCACAGGAGAGCAGAGGCTTAGCAATGGTACGACGTTGCCAGCGAAACGTGAGCTCTATACAAGAAACGGAGAGACCTACGGCTCGCAAGAGAACGACAGAATGTTCAATGGTCTGTCAGGCAGAGGACACCAGTTAGAAATACTGGACAATGGAAGCCGCATGGTCGACAACGAAACACAGCAAGCATTTGTGGTATCCTGTGTGTAATGGTATTAATTAATGCATAATTGCATTCATAATCAATCCTGTACAGTTAAGAATTGCTTATGTGCATAGCTGAATTCTTGATGTGGATCAAACTCTTTGGTGAAAGTAGATTTTAAGGTATAGTGAGAAACAATGTTACAGTGAGTTAGTAGCTATGCTGTCCAGGATAATCATGTGATGCAGTACTGTGTATCTAAGAATTACTACTGTTTTTCTTCCTTATGCATGTAATCATTCAATAACATTAGCAAATGGAGGCTAGGGTTGAAAGGCTACGTATTGTACAGCATTGTCTCACAGGTACCGTAATACCGACACAGCTCCAATTGTACCTAAATATGCAGGTAGTATTTGGAGCCCTGAGTACAGTAGTTATGTAAGTAACAGTTGTGAAGGAATAGGATGGTTAGGTACAGTATTGCTATGTTAGGTCAGCGTTTGCGTAACTTTTCTCCTGTGTATGAGGTCTGTATATATTGGCAATTGAATGCAGGTAGTGTATGTATTCAGTGTGTATGTGCAAGTGTATGTGCATTGTATGGATGTGTATACACATTGAGGATTGAGGGGGTGTATGTGTTACTGTACATTGTATAAATGATTATATACTTTGTGTGTGGAATGTTTGCATGCGTGTGTTTGGAGTGCGTGTGTGTGTGTGTGGGTGGGTGAGTGAGTGTGTGTGCGTGTGTGTGTGTGTGTACATTGTACACATGTATGTCTGCTGTGTTTGTGTTTGTATGATGTGTGTGTCTTCAGCATATTTGTGTATGTGTGGTGTGCATGTTAGTATACTGAGTACATGAGGATGCTTTCATTTCATTGTTGCTTAGATAGAACTTTTGAAAATTTTGTCATCTTTTACCCCATGTTCCTAGATTGGTACTTGTGCACAAAGTAACCCAGCATGACTAAATTAGGAAGAGTCAAAATGTTGATCCAGCCAGCTTGCAATGCAGCAGTAACAGATTTCTATGTGTACCACAGTGTAGTACAATCGTCTTATTTTGTACATTGTTATAGGCACATATATTATATTTTTATTATATTGTTTTGATATGCAGTAATGATATTCGCAATGGTTGCTAGTTGGCTGAAGCCTCAAGATTCTAACATTCATGTATATATTATATACTATAGATTTATGCTATTTAAGTGCAATATAAGTTCTATGATTATACAATATTAGGATGAGCATATGCTTATAATATAAAAGAGCTTACTTTATTCTGATAGCATTTTGGTGAGACCTAGGAACAGAAGTTGTGTTTTCTGATTTTGACAGTCAACTTAGACAGTCACACAACATTTCTTCCTAGGCCTTACTGGAGTTGAGTCTAACACACTAGACTATGATATTGATAAACCTGCCTTCCTATATGTAGGAACTGCCTTTCAATATTGATATTAATCTGCAAAAAGATTTTTTAAGTATGTATGTTATCATACATTATCATATATTGTCTGTGCACTAAGTGTAAAAAAACATTTAATGTTTGTTCGTTGTTGCATCAAATGAAGATTATTATGTTTAACATGCTGTATATTCCAGAGGCAAGTTGTGCATTTTTCAAGTTAGAAGAGTTAGTTGTGGAAATGTAGTAGCTATAGCCTCCACCAGGCCTTCATATTAGGGGGTTGGGATGGTAGAATTTGGCAAAAATAGAGTCTGACTGGCCAGGGGAATGGGTCCACTCTTAAAGTTTCATTATGTTCATCGAATGAAAACATATTGTTTTTGCTCTCTTCCTCTTCTTCTCCAAACCAATAAGGTCAATGACCTGAACCAGACGTCTGTCACCATGGTAACAAGTGTTGGGTTACATCATGTTGTAATTTTATAGCAGGAGGGATTTAGACTCCTGTCACCATATATATGAATGTGTTTGAGTAAGAAACAGACCATATGTGAAGGTAAACATTATGCATTTACTTTGCAAATGTTACTAATTTCAACTCCACCTTAGCTTAACTCCCCTGGCCAATTATTCTCCCTATGTGGCTAAATTTTACTGTTTTTGAAAATGCAGTTATTCTGGTGGATACTAGAATTGTAGTGAAATGAACACTTATTATCCTATATGTATGGTGCATATAGTGTCAGTGTAACAATTTCTAGCCAAGAAGCTAGCAAGCAAAGGTGCAAATCTGTAGTACGTATATATACGTACTGGCAAATGTTTTTTTGCTTACCACAATAATGTGGCTTGATGTATTAGAGTATTTAGGAAATTGACAGAATTGTACTGAAGCAGTTTTTCACGGTAGATTGTGACTACTACTAGTGTATGTTTGACTAATTATAAGATACATCTGTGCTTCTAATGTTGTAGCCAGACTTTTTCTTTCTGGGCTGTCTTTATAATAGTCCCTACAGAAGTAGCCTCTACTAGGCTTCAGAGGCGGCTGGAAAGAGTAGAAGTTGGCTAAATAGACAGATAACATGCCAGGTGAATTGGTCCGCTTAAAGTCTTAAACTTAAGGAGTACAATTTCCCACTCTGAAACTGTAGGTCTTAAGTTGAGCCCTCTGGCGGTTTCCGCCCAAAATGCAGCTATCCTTTCGCAAACTTCTATGTTTTTTGGCGCCGATACGCAATTTTTTTACACGGGCTAAGGTCTCTCCAACTTACGCGGGTAAACATGCTAAGTTGTAATTTATAGGCGGTATTGTTAACTACAACACCAAAGCAGCCAACTGAAAATAAATTAGAGGAAGAGAGATCTGGAAGGGCCTGCATAGGGGGTCCCGACAAACGCTTTTGAGAGTCGACTACGTCTTACACACAGGAACCCTCCCGATTACGCTTTACGGTCAATTCCGGGTAGCCACAACGCATTACGTGAAATAAAACAGCGAATTACGCTCTACAAAAAACATGCGCCAATTACGCTCTATGTTCAATAAGAGTGGTCCGTCTACGCTCTACGTGGAATTAAAACGGCCGATTACGCTCTACGTGGAAAAGGGCATGCGGGTTACTGGTCAGGCCATGTTGATTTGATTATATGGATGACATCACTTGGGAACCTCAAAGCTGATGCGAGCGTGCGAATAAAAAAAAGTTCGGCCAAAAAAAAGTTGCCTTCATCATAATCCGCGTGGTCATGAAGGTTGAACAAATGACTAAACACAGAGTATGGTATGGTGAATAATAGAATCTTTATTTTCATTTCTTAACACTTTCTTCAATTGATTGTACAATTCTAAGACATTAGTATTGTTCTCAAATATTTTTTTTGCATAAATCTTCGGCATATATTTGCTAATTTTGCAGTTGTTTTTTTTTACGATTTACAGTATGGTCGAAAACTTTATTTTTGGACCGGCCGCGCGCGCGGATGTCATCCATATAATGAAATCAACATGGCCTAACGTACTGCGCTAACTAACGCACGAGTGAGTGATAAATTGGGCAAACCAAATCACTCACAAGGAAACACCGTATAGTAAGTAATGCATAGGCCCCCATTAGGACGCCAAATACACACTCAGGCAAGCAGAAGCCCACTCAAAATACCAACACGCCTGTTTGTGTACTAGCCTGACGGAGGCACGCTTGGCATATGAGTGGCCCGACGCCACACCTCCCTACCCACCCTGAAAAGCCATTACTACATTAACAACCACGCCTCTATTGTAGGCCACGCACGGAAGAAAAAACTCGTGTTGTTGTCCCCAATTCAATGAAATCTTTTCGACAAGAATTGCCATGTCAAACTGAACATGATTGACAGCACCGATTCAAAAGGGCTCTATTCGTGGAGAAAAGGCACACTCAGTCCCTAATTACCATTACTTAATAAGGCACACGGTTTTCAATGACCAACAAGGCTTCCTGTTTGAAGGGTAATTTTTGTCTCCACCTCTAATTGTTCTCCATTGTACGAGGCTTCTAATCCGTGATTCCGCGGAACAATGACAGCTGTCAATCAACCGAACGCGGGGCATTGTGGCACTGAGTCTCGGTTGAAAAACGTAGCACATAGGGGTCAAGGCATGGCCAAACAAACCCACACGGTCCCTGGGACCAAGGAGGTTCTACCTAGAACCTACGTACGAAATAAGCAAAGAAAGGGACATAGAACCTACATACAAAATAAGCAAAGAAATGGACATTGTTCCAGCAAGGATGTTCTACATAGAAACAAGAGAGAGCGGACAGAATTAAGGCAGCCAAAGCGTGAAAACTGGATTTTTTTAAAAAGTCAATTTACTGGCCCTTTTTTAAGTATGAGATTCTTTATTAACGCAACAAAAAGTACAGGGACTTTTGTATGGTCTTCTACAACTGAAGATCTAACAAATCTAAATACATGTGTGGATAAATTGATAACGTCATCCTAAGTGTAATAGTAAGAAGTTAAATCACTACTATTTCATATATAGCATACTGATATCTGTGAGGCAAAAATGCGTTGTCTTTGCCGGAAAACGGTTGCTTATTTCGCATCGTTGGCTAGATCTGTCTAGCAAAAAAACTAAGTAAAGGGTCTGCTCGCGTAGCTTGTTTTGGGGCTATTTCAAACGCTTCATGTATGAAATGACGACGAAAGGTTCAGGCTAAGAAAGGGCAGTTAATGTCAATATCAGATCTCGTGAGAATATATTTCTCATAATAATAATTCTGACTTCATAATTCTCAGCAAGGGGCTAGTGGGCTTAATAAAATCCGACTACGATTCTGTAATTCAGGTGTCTAAAACTATTGCGATAGAGTAAGAAAACAGCATACAGGTACATTAATGTGTTTTTTTGTGTGTGTGGTTCTGGATAAAGCAAGGTTCTGGATACACGTGGGCTATCCAGAACCGTACCTGAGCATGGCTCTGGATATAAAGCACGGTTCTGGATACGCGTGGACTATCCAGAACCGTGTGGTCTGAGCATGGTTCTGGATAAAGCGCGGTTCTGGACACAACAAAATGATGCGGAATTACAGAATGATCCACGACACAAGGGCCCAGCAAAAAGGTCCACGGCACGGCACCGTAATGGAA